CCCTCCATAAAGTGCTCCATTATGTAGTGTTATGATTTTGTTACAAAAACAAAAATGTGAATAAAGATTTTATATATATATATATATATATATATATATATATATATATATATATAAAGAAAGCATTCTAGACTTTGCATTTGGTTTCAAACAAATTTCAATTCATCTGATTCATCCGCAATAAAAAACTCTGAAATGTTATTTGGGCGAATCATAAAAGACATGCAATGGACAGAGAACAAAACTGTTTTGTTTGTTTCATGAGATTTTTTTGTTGAGCCAAAAAAAAAAAATGGATGACTAAGGGAGAGCCACTATTTATTAATGTATTCACAGATCAATTTAGAAAAGCCCAATAGAAGGGGAAAAAAGGAACAGGTAAAAAAAATTATACTTAATAAATATAAATCTGAATTTTTTTTTCTGTTCTTCCTCTTTTTCTGTCTATTTGTTACTTCGTCTCACTCAATCTTTGACAGAAAAGGCACAAAAAAGTAGTCTACTGCAAAATGTATATAAAATATTTATATTTTGCAGTACACTGATTGCCCAAAATTTGTGCCATTTTGGTTTGTCGGAATTGTTTTTCCCAAATGATTTACATGGACAAAATTTGAATGAACCAAAGCACCACAAGGACAAAACCTGAATCAACCCCATATTTATTTATTTTTGTGGATAAAATGATTCAGACAAACTAAATTTGTAATTTACATAAATAGTTAGGTTTTTCTGTATGCAGCAAACTTATACACAAAAAAACAGCCATTTATCCCCTTAAGCCCTTAAGGACCAAACTTCTGGAATAAAATGGAATCATGACATGTCACACATGTCATGTGTCCTTAAGGGGTGAAGGACACATGACGGAAATATTCCATCATGTTTCCATTTTATTCCAGAAGTTGTGTCCTTAAGGGGTGAAGGACACATGACGGAAATATTCCGTCATGTTTCCATTTTATTCCAGAAGTTGTGTCCTTAAGGGGTGAAGGACACATGACGGAAATATTCCGTCATGTTTCCATTTTATTCCAGAAGTTGTGTCCTTAAGGGGTGAAGGACACATGACGGAAATATTCCGTCATGTTTCCATTTTATTCCAGAAGTTGTGTCCTTAAGGGGTGAAGGACACATGACGGAAATATTCCGTCATGTTTCCATTTTATTCCAGAAGTTGTGTCCTTAAGGGGTTCATGACATATATTTGATTTTTTTACAAGATTTCTCTCATTTAAATACTCTAGCTTCATACAAATATATAAATTCACAATTGTCACACAATAGTACACTGTAATTTAATTGCCGATATTTAGTGATTTTACAAGGTCTTTCTCATATTGAAATTCACAGCCGCTGGCATAGGAGAACTTTTTGCTTTTCCACATTCTTTCTCACTTTAGACGCACAGACATTTTGTCCCTTTTCTGTAAAAGACAGCACATTGTCATTACACATTTCATACCAGTTGCTACACAATTTATTACAAGTTTACAAAAGAAAATGTTGCATTATCAGTTTTTTCACTTCACCAATGAAGGGTTATCGTTTCTCAATATCCTTCTTGACTTCATCATTTTTTGTAGCAACGTCAAAGTATCTGTCAGAAAATGTTTGTTCGTCTGTCAGAATATGTCTGTTTTTTAACTTTAGTTCACCCAACGCCTTCTCCAATTAATAGATTTCATATAATTAACAACTTTGTCAATTACTAAATGTCCTTAAACTCAGTGGGTGAGCTCAGCAGAATTTTTTATCTTATTTGGCACACGATGCAATATCTGAAAATGTTTGGCCAAGACTCATTCAAATTTAGCTACTGTCAATAGAGCTTTCAGCATTTGGCATGGAAATCTTAATGAATGGATTCATCTTTGGTGACCCGTATGATAAAGTGATCTACACAGATTTTATTTTGTACTTTATTGCACAAACAGTAATTCTAAATGGTTTCTCTAATACAGCGAGAGGATGGTGAATTGTGTTAATTGTAAAGGAAGTAAAGTACAATATTGACAGCTAATACCAAATAATGTATTGTGCATTTTGCATGTTTCTTATTTAAGGACACTGTGCATTCTGCACGCAATTGGTAATATATAGAAATACATGTATTTGTTTTTGTGTGTGCTGTGACCTGTATTCTTCTCTGTTTCTTAAAAAATACATTCAAGATGACAAATCAATACACAACTGCATTAACCATGTGATTACCAAGTTCTTTTCATTTGAAAAATAATAGTAAATAATTTAGTTGACACATTGGATGCATAACTATCATGTAAATATCGAATAAAATAACAAAGTTGTGTATACGTTGCTGCTCATGGTAAAGTTACATACTTATATTTTTATCAATTCAAACAGCATTTTAGCAATTCTCTTGTATCAATTTCCTTGCAATATGTTAGCCACATCTGAAATATTAGCACAGAAGCAGAAATTACTTTTTGCCAAAAAAATTGATCAATGTCAATAGTCAAATACATTACTCTATTGGTATGTGTAAGGAAGTTGATAACATTTCTTGCAATGCCACTTCCTACAAATATTCTAATAATGTATATACCTCTTACATTGTTTATTTTATTTTTGTTTATTTTACCTGAAATCTTGCCAAAAACTTGAAATCATCAGCACTTTTTACAGGTGTAATCCAAGAAGAAAAACCAACAAAATTCTGTAAAAAAAAAAAAAAAAAAGGAAAATTAAACATAATATATTTTTTAGAAATGAATATAACATATATGTCTTTCTGTCCATCTATCTATATATGTAAATATCCTGTCATATGTAGCCAGTGTGTGAGTAGCATTGAGTAGCATTATTATACCACTATTTCAGAAAGTTGATAGAGAGAGACAGTGTGTGTGTGTGTGTGTGTGTGTGTGTGTATATCATTTAATTTGTATTCTTTAGAGGGTGGGCAGTGAGTGAAGCATTTAAGAATATATTACAGTATATTTAAATAGAATTGATAAAGCCTAACAAGCAGATATTTGTGTTTTTGTGGAATCTTGAATATGATATGGGTAGCTTGAATATAAGGTGTTAACAAGAGGACACAGAAAGGACAGAAATAAATGTTTCTTAGGTAGTTGAGGACATGATAATGCAATCACGAGTGAGACAGATGGAGTAAAGAAAAGGAAATGGAAGGAAATGATAAGGTTAATACAGTTGTACAATTGATTGAGACATTCATTAGGGGTAGTAAATGGTTGTTGTTTGTATAAAAGAAACTCTCCATGTATGTTAATGGATGAGTGCTATACAGAGGGCAGTGTCATGACTTCTTTGATAATTATAAATCAATCTGTTTGCACTAAAATTGGTCTTTGAAAAAATTTGTGCATTAATTCGTAACTTTTTTAGTCCATTTAGTAAGAACATTGCAGGTTATTTTGATACCTATTATAGCATATTTTATAATTATAATTGTGATTATACAGTTTTACCTAATGGTGTTACAACAAGCAGCATGCCCAAAAGTATAATAAAATAGAGCATGTTAAAGAGGACAATATGGTGGTCTCTGATGTATACTGGTGGACATTGGACATCAATTATGGAGGCTTTCTTGTGCACCAAAGGGGAAATCTTTCTGTCAAGAAGAGAAAATTATTTCACACTTTTTGGTATACCACACAGTACTATCTATTATGAATAGTTTAATAAAGATAAGTAATAAATAAATAATACAGAAAGAATACATGCATACAACATACAAAGAGATCGAGAGTGAAAACAGATTTAGAAAGATGATCCTGTGTTACGCCTTCTTAATCTTCAGTTAATATTTTTTCCTAGAAATGTTGTTATACCTAATAACTAATACTGATGCCAGGATTAACCTTGTCTAGTCTATTCAATGTTTCTCTATGTAATGATACTTCTCCTTACTCAGTACTTTAAATATATTGTGGCTACATTTACTTTCTAAAATCATACCAAACAAGGACATAATAAAAGACATAATAAAAATAAATGGCGAGAGCACACAAAATAAAAGATACTACCCACACTGAAGTCAATCAATCTAGGAAATAAAACCAAAAAAGAAAGACATAGGGTAATATAGTCAAACACAAATAATTTTACATAGGTGTTGGTCTCACTCACATAAGGGGAGCCACTTAATTAGCTGGCTCAGACTGAATGCCTTGAGTATATAGCAGGACCTCTACTGCGAACTTCTGGCTTCTTTATGTATAATACCTCCAGGACGCAGAGTAACAGGGGGTTACAAAAAACTTTATTCTCCAAAAATCGTGAAATGAAAATTTAAAAACAGAAGCAATAAAATAAATAAGTCCCACAATGTAAGTCCAATCACTTGACGCGTTTCGGCTATAGCCTTCATCCGAAGTGATATTGAAATCCAAGGCATTCAGATTTAAATACTTGTATTTGGCGCCTTCTTTTCCCGCGCTGTGACCGCATTCTTCCGCTTCCGGTATTAACGTCGGGACGTCATCTGCATCATTGCGTTCAAGCTTCATCGGTTCCAGTAACATGTTTCCATTACAGACGTCCAGACGTACCACTACAGAGTGGCGTCCTACGTCCCATTGGATTTCATTTTTAATAAAAAGGTTTCAACAGAAATACCCTGCTAATTGCTTTTTAAAGCCAAACATCTTTCCTTTACATATTATATGAATCTATATCATATCTTAGACATTTGTGTATATAACTTTTAACAACATACACAAAATGTATTGTATCAATCCAAATTAAAACTTCAAATTCATGATAAAAAAATAATCAATTTGCATGATATAATATATTAAAAAACATATTAAAAAAGAGAGATACATCTAATTGGGAAGAAGAATAAGAAAATAAATTCCACCGTTAGCATTTTATAAAAAATAATAAAAAATAAAGAATAAGTGTAAAATATAAATTAGTGATAAGAAGGAAAAGAGGGGAAGCAAATAAACATTGTTGTTATACATACTGATTAATCTCAAAGTCAACATTTAAACCCGGTGGTATTAATGTATCCAATTCAAACATCCACCTCATTTCTCTTAAACCCAAAATATGGTTACTATCACCTCCTCTCCAGTGAACCTGAATTTTATCTATCCCAATAAATTCAATTCCTTAAGGATCTCCATTATGGACCTCTAGGAAATGTTTAGATACCCTGTGATTAATAAATTTTCTCTGTATATTCTAGATATGTTCCCTAATTCTTGTTTTTAAAGTACGTGACGTCTTGCCCACACATTGAAATCCGCATTGACAAATCAACATGTAAATTACATCTTTACTGGAACAAGTAATGAACGATTTTATTGGATATTCTTTTTTTGAGATGGATGAAGAAAACTTTTCTGTTTTTCTATTCTTCTTATTTCTCAAATTACATCCTCTACACATACCACAGTAGTGAAACCCTTTACTTCCCTTTAAAAAATTACCTTCTATTTGAACATAGGTCGGACACAACGTTTAACGTGGGCATCTGCCTAAATAGTCTTATAATCCTGTGTTAAAAACTGAAGAAATTTTTGGCATGCTATAAAAAACCTGAAAATATGTTCATTCCATCTACCTAAAACAACATATCTCAACTGCATTCACAAATACAAATACTAATATGAAGAATGTATACTAACATTCACAAAACTTACCTGTTTCCAGTTTAGGTGGATACTCTGAGCTCACTTAATAACAAATGTATCTAAATGAGCATTATAACATTGATTGGCTTCTTATAGCCATATTAATAGTGACATAGAATCATCAGTTTAGCCATGTGCTATCCAATGCATCATCAGATGTCTGAAGAACTAATATTTGGATTAAAAAAACAATGAAGTGAAGCTTGGAATGAAACTTGTGATGCTTTTGCTTATTATGATGAGTTTTAATTATTAATTAATGCTTGAATGAGTTATGCATTAATAAAACACTAGTTGGAGAATAAAGTCTTATTTTCTTGTATTCTCTACTTACTTCAGGGTACCACTCATACTTCATCTGGACAAGCGAAGGAGCACCTGTTACTGCTAAATATTAATTTTAACTGTTTATATTGCTTGTGAGAGATTATTCAATAATGAGCAAGTCTCTTGTGCTGCATAATTGATGACAAGTAGAAGAGTTCCATTGTTTTCTCAGATGCTATGTAGGCCAAAATGGTGATTGTTTTATCTATGTACCACAACACATTGTATAGTGTAACGGTTCTCATCCACTGAGTCAGGTCCCAAATGGGTCCCCATGCCATATTCTGGGAGTCTCTAATTGGAACAGACACATCATATTTGTCAGAATCCATGACAAGCCAACAATACTTTATTGCTTCACTGTAGGAGTACCTTCCACTGCATCATGGCAGGTCCAATGATAGACGATTCTAATAAATACATCATGCCAAAATGTGTATTTAGTATATATTTGTCACAATACCACCAGTAGTTAAGTCAAGTCTAACCAAGGCAGGGATATAAAATGGATAGAAGCTTAGTTCCTGTCTGGCAATCACAGCATAGTTGGGAAGGTAGCAGCAACCTCTATAGGTTAGAACGCAAAAAAAACAGAATATACACAAATCAAGAAAAAAGTGTATTATTATATACATGAAACACATTAGAATCAAATACAAAACCGATAAAACAATACAAGAAAAGGAAGCAGGGCCTCTGGAACACAGAGGATCTTCACGGAAAAGCAGTTTGCTCTTGACCACCGAGAGTTTGCACAGGAAAGCAGCTTCCTCTAAAATACTGAGGGTAACAGGATAGCAGCAAGATCTGGAACACTGAGGGATTTGCACAGGAAAACAGCTCGCTCTGGGATACTGAGGGAAGCGGGATAACAGCAAGCTCTGGGATACTGAGGGAAGCGGGATAACAGCAAGCTCTGGGATACTGAGGGAAGCCGGATAACAGCAAGCTCTGGGATACTGAGGGCAGCGGGATAACAGCAAGCTCTGGGATACTGAGGGTAACAGGATAACAGCAAGCTCTGGGATACTGAGGGTAATAGGATAACAGCAAGCTCTGGGATACTGAGGGATTTGCACAGGAAAACAGCTCGCTCTGGGATACTGAGGGCAGCGGGATAACAGCAAGCTCTGGAACACAGAAAGTTACACAGGGACTAAACCAAAACACAATTAATGAAATGTCAAACAAGAAGAGACAAGTCTACACTAAATAGGGATGAGATAATTTCAAGATGGAACAAGCTGGTAACAGAGACAGATCTCTTCAGTCTTGGTGACAGCACCACAGAAGCATAGTGGAACAGAGAGGTAATGCACAAGACTGATAAGATGTAACAGAATTGTGCAACTGACAGATAAAGTTAAAGTGGCTCCATCACCAAAAAAAAAAAAGTTTGTCTAATCTGCTTCTATTTAGCTCTCTGTATATGAATCTCTTTTTATGTATATTTTCCTGAGCTCTCTTGTTGTCATAAAAATTCATAAGAAAAAGTAAGGACTATTTTCCTTATGTAGAGCAGTCAAGGTGACAAAACCTCACAATGGGTGGGGCTAAAGCATGGGCAGAGGAGAAAAAAATAGCTGTTCACAGAGAACTTGCACAGAGAAGAAAAGATAATAAATATAAATAAATGCAAGAGTCAATGTAGAGTAATCATTAACCCCTTAGCGACCCAGGACGGTTCAGGACCGTCATCGGCATTTTTGCCTTGAGGACCGATGACGGTCCTGAACCGTCCTAACGGTCTCCGTTACTTACCTGATCGCCGTCGTTCCCCCGGCGGCGATCAGCGTGGCTCCGGTTGTGGGGAGACTGCCTGCAGCCCAGACAGTCTCCCCACACTGAATTAGGACCCCCTGTGGCCATGTGATCGCTTAACACAGCGATCACATGGTCACAATAGGTGTCCATGTGTCTGCCTGCAGGGGGACTGTCTGTGCTGACAGGCAGTCCCCCTGCTAGTGTAAAATCAAAAAAAAAATAAAGTTAATGTTAATTAAAAAAATAATAATAATTATATATGTGTATATATGATATATAGACATATATTATATCTATATAATATATGTCTATATATCATATATATATATGCCATACTAAGTGTATTTTTATATTAATATGTACTTATATTAATATAAAAATACACTTATAATTAAATTACACACGTATATATATAATATATATAATAACTATATATATTGTATATATATATTATTATAAAATATAAATAATAAGTAATTTACATTAAATAAATTTTTTTTAAAATAATAATAAATAAAAAAAAAAAAAATTATATATCTATATGAAATTTTATTCTAACTGTATTTAAAAATTAATATATATATATTTATATCAAAATACACTTAGAATGAATTTGTATATATATCTATGTATATAAAAATAAATAAAAATAATAAGAAATATACATATGTCCATATACAAAATTACATAAATAATTATATAAATATACACGTAGACTTCAGATATATAAATATGCATATATATTTAAATTCTACGTGCGTATTTATGTAATAGTTTTACATAATTCAGTAATTTTATTGATTGCAATTTAAGGGACCTGCCTGCCAACCCAGGCCGAAATTCCAGAGAATTGAATTTGCTAGCACTGTATTTTACCCTGTAACGTTCTACGACACCCTAAAACCTGTACATGGGGGGTACTGTTTTACTCGGGAGACTTCGCTGAACACAAATATTAGTGATTCAAAACATAGTGATTCAAAAAATGTCCGCCACCACTTGTTCGTTTCCCGAATGGCGGCCACCCCGAGACAAGGACCTACTGCATAGCTTGTTAATTACCCGTTCGCAACATTGTTGCAACGGGTAATTGGAGGCACACTTCACACAGGGGAGGTCTGATTGTTCGGTAGTTTCATTCCCTTAGTTTATTCGAATGATTCTACCGAACAATCAGACAAATACACTTTATTTAAACACATATAAAACCAGCAGTTTACACGAATGCATTGAACACATGAAATCTTCAGGACAGCCCAGTGCCATCTGCTACAAATTCAATTGTAGCTGGCCATCTCCCAGCCCTTATATATTTAGTTATCCTTTACTTGAAAGTCCATGGGTTGAATAAAGGGGCCTAGGTCACTTCTTGGGCAAAGGCCAAATTGTATTGGGGTCCTGCAGGACAACATGTTTAATTATGTATTAATTTAATATACAGAGAGATACTCGGCTCTGTAATGAGGGAGCCAGTTGACTTTCTTTAATCCTATTCTAGGGTCCCATATACTATTGCTTTATTGATTATACTGTATCTTTCAGTGCCACAAAAGAAAACATCTTATCATTCTGCTCCCAATTGCAGCACTGAATATGTTTATTCTATATATTTATTTATCAGTCACCTTCTCTTTGAGAGCAGAGCTTAGCTCAGTGACTGAAAATTAATAGCTGAGAGTCTAGGTCCTGGGCTGTCCTGCATTCAAAGTTTTAACCAGCAGAAACTTGATGCTAGAGCAAGTGTCCAGCAGACCCAAGGTAAGTTGACAATCTTTTAGCAAATGGTTTGACTCCTTACATGCTTAAAATTACAGCTGGAGATGCTAAGGTGGCCAGTTGGTCAACTCTTGGCGACAAATATTGATTCTAGTTCAAGACAGACAGAATGAGATAAAAAGAAAAAATAGATAAATAATGTAAATGTTTGAGTAGTTTCATACATACCCATAGAACACATGTTTATAGAGCATGGACTCTAGAAACTGCAAACATATATATTATATATTATATATTTACGCAGATAAAATGTGGTCACAATATACCATTTTAATAGAAATTACTCCAATTACCCTAGGCAATCCACCAACTTGCTTCTTTTAATTTAAATAGCATTTTGCCTGCTACTACTTCTATAGTCAGATGAAATTGTAGTTTGTATTTTTTTATCTAGTTTGTATTTTTTTTTTTGTCTGAATTTGCAGCTTTATCAAGTTCTATCCAGCGAATTGAAAAGGCCATTGGGGGTTTCCCTCTTCTTTCACCTTAGATCAAAGGGGCCAGTGGCATCCCAATATCTTCTCATAAATGTAAATAAGCAATTTGTGGACTAGTTGGGAGCTCAGACTATGCTCCTGTACTGCGAGTACACATGTCTCTACTATAATATAGCTTTGTCATATTATCTACATACAACCTTATAGTATAACAGTGTGATGGGCGATATCTACAAAAAATATACAAATCGTACATAGTGTGACAAGAGTATAAATATAAAGACACGCAGGATGTATATGTTAAACTCACAAAATATAAGTGAATATCAGGCCCATCATCCTTAATCAGAAGTGGTCTTCAGAGTAATATGGGAAAAATCTTCTTTAGCACTTGTAAAATAAAGAAACCAAATAATAGTGCACATGAAATTAAAACTTCAAAGATTTATTACAAAATGCACTTACAAAAGGTCTAGGTAAAAACATCATATAATCCACTACAAGGTGGAGATAAAAGCACAGCAAATAAGTCCCAACTGTAGTAATACAACGCATTTCGTCCACTGGACTTCCTCATAGTGTCGTCCGATTTGGCTTGGTTAAGTTGCCTGGATCTTAGTCCGGTTGTGACTATGCGGGTGTGCGCTGGCACTTGCTGGTGGTGTCCCTAACCAAAGGGACTTTGGGGGGGATGAAGGGGTGCGTGTTGCCATGCCTCTGTCTAATGGAGTGGCGCCAATCTCCACTAGGCTTTTAAGGTGTTCATTTTTACTCAAATTTAACAAATAGAGGTGACAATGTGAACAAATTGAATTATAAACTTATTATGCAGCCCACAGTCACTTGAACTAGTGCCAGCTTGCTTTTTAGTCAAGTCCCCAGTCGCGTCGTCAGTTGTGAACATGGGGCGAAGGGGACCACGGTAGTTGGGCCCCAGCAGTGAGTGCCGGATTGGCTGCCTATTGCCCGATCTTGTGCTGGTAGTCCCAGTGCCTGAAACAGGGCTGATGCTTCCTCAATGGAGGAGAGACTCCATTTAGTTCCATCCAAGTCCACCACCAGAGATCTCGGCATTGCCCAGCAATAAGTGATACCTGCTGCTCTCAGGTGAGTTGTGGTAGATTGGAGAGATCTTCTCCACTTTAGGGTGGGCCGTGAGAGATAATGGTAAAATGTCAGCTCTGTGTCCTAAAACAGGTAGAGCATCTGGTTCAACAGGACCGTTAAGAGAGCTTTTTTGTCCTGCGCGAGGGAGCAACGGACTAGGATATCGCTCACACCCGATGCAGGGGCTCGTGGAGATTTAAGCAGGTGAAATACACTATCGAACATAAATTTTTTGGCCTGTGTCGTGGTAAAAGTGATGCTACCAAGTACAACAGATAATGTGTAAGGTCTTCTGTGGTTACAGTTGCAGGTACACCGTGTATTTTCAGCTTGTTACGTTGTGTGCGGTGGATGGCGAGGTGGACCGCTTGTGCTTGTTAAGCCCTTTGCACAGATTTAAGGGAGTCTCTCATGTTTAGCATTTCTTATTTCACATCTTGGATGTCTTCCTCAGTAGCCCTGACCTTGTCAGTAAGAACTTGTATCCGCTTGGATCACTGCTATGTCCACCGTCAGAGTCAGTCTGAAGGTCTTTAATGTCCTGCTTGGTGGCTAATGTTGACCAGTCTGGCATGTTTGGGGCTTGCTCTTCAGAATTATGCAGTGTGTTCTGCGCTGTGTCTGGCTCAGGGTTCTGCGTGGCAACCACAGTCTCCCAGGTCTCCTGTGTCACCATTTTGTTTTGGGCCTGGCGCTCTAACAGTGCCCATATGTCTTGTGCATCTTGCGGGGTACTTGGTGGGGGTTTCTGTGACCCCTGTCCCATTGTGGAGTGCTGGTCCGGCGGGGAGCAGAGTATGGTCTCTGGCTCCAGTGTATTCCAGGGTGAGGGAGGCCCCAGCAGCTCCAACTGTCCGCGTGAGTGGTGATGGTAGGCCGCAGGCTGCTTTCTCCATCTTTTTGGCCTGGATTTATGGAAGAAAGGAATGGAGCTGTGCTGAGTAATCTCTCCGATTTTGGCCATCAGATGGGTGAGTGAGTTTAAGATTTTTAGCAGATTAAGCTAAGCCTCAGCGGAGGGGAGGGAAATGGCGTCCACTCCGTTATGAGGTTAAACCCCTAAAAAATAAGTTATGAACATTTTAAATTCAGTTTCATGAATAATAATAATATCAACTTTTTGAAATAGTTGTTTTGTGTATTGTATGCATATTTTTCTCTTAACCTGCTAGCAAGAAATATTATATATATATATATATATTATATAACATTGTATTAACTATCCATAGACTTTAGGTGGAACGGGTTTTCAATCACAATTTTTCGAGAGAGTGAGAGAGATCTAATTCCTGCAAAAAAAAAAAAAAAAAACTACACTTATCATTAGATGTCTTCTTTAATCTTAAATCCCTTTTTCTTCAGAAAGAAGAGAATAATGAATTTGCAAACTGTGCAAGTTGAAAAATACCCTGCCAGTAGCTTGGCATTGAGCTTAAAAAATAATTAAATAAACCTTGCCAATAAACTAATGTCATGTGCATAATATACATGCCTGTTTTAAAAAGGTTAAGAACAACTGCTTTAGAATATTTCTGCGAATAGAAGATATGCAACTTAACAAAATATGCAGAATATTTGTATTGTACTGTACATTAGCTATACCTTAATGAGCCCCAGGTAAAATCTGGACATATAAAGAGCTGTCAAAACTCACAAAGCAAAACTAGAAAATAAATGTGAGGATATGAAGACATTGACTGCATATTATATGATGCTCAGTAAAAAAGGTAGTAAAGACCTAAGAGAATTGGGGGCACACCTGGAACATACACATTGCATGAACGGTGCTGCCGTAGCCAACATTTATAGATAATACAGATTAAAGTGCAGCGCACACAAAAAAAATAATGTATAAATATTTAAAGCTAGTTAAATAGCTGAGATAGACGATTTTAAGTAGCCTCATAGAATTTAGAAATGCATTTTTATGAGTGTTTAGGCATTTTCAGCAAAAAGAATTTAGGCATTTTCAGCAAATTGCATTCACCTGAACTTTCTTCTTTGTGAGGTGGAGAGTGTCTGGTCCCGATGCAACTGGTGACTAACTGTAATTAGAATAGCAATCGTCCAGCACTCCTCCAAATATTTAGGGATGTGGGGGACAAGGGACTTCTTATTTTTTGTGAACTTAGATCTCACTTGCATTCTTTTTCTGTAAATTGTCAGTAGATATCGACAGGTTTCAGACACTATTTTCTATCAAATATGGACTGGATTTAATTGGGATACCAAATTCTAAACCAGTTGGTTGCTAGATGAAAATCCTCCTATAAATGAATTGGACTTTATTTTAAAGACTAACCATGTTAGTTATTAGAAAATAAATTAAATAAAAGAATATAAGGTCAATATGACCACTATATAAGTGAAAGGACGATTTTACACCTCTCCCATGTTCTCACTTGCGATGACACAAATGAGGATATATCAATTAAACAGCAAGCTGGGCAGTTATTGCCATTGTCTGAGGGCATTGGGTAGGGGCTTTGGATTAAAGAACAGGGGGTGCACAAATAACTGTCTACTTCTTATGTCTCCACCCAATGGCTAGTGGCATATTACCATAAGTGCGAGGATACCCTGTCTATCCTCTCACTATAATAATAGTAAGGAGGTAATTAATCTAATTCCTTCAAAAATTATACTTATCATTAGATGTCTTCTTTCATCCTAAATCTTCTTTTATTAAGCCCCCCAAAAAAGTTAAAGGAAATGCATACTGTTTATACATTATTTTTCAAAAAGAAAAAAGTGACCACATTACAAATAAAAGAAGAAAAAAAAGAACAGAAAAAAAATGCAACGTTAAAAATTAATCCAAGTTTGCCCATCAAGGTCTCCACACAGCCTACCTTGTAAGGTAGTGAAGGAACTGCTTTGTCTTTTTTTAACCCTCTCCATTAAAATCACATGTAATGGATATACTGATAAGTCCTGCAATAGAAGGCTGATTTGTTTATTGTCTCACTTAAAACATAAATGTAATGCAAACCGAGCTAATAATTAAAGCATAAATAATGTTAAAGCAATTTGTATTTATTAGGTACACTATACATATTCTATTTACTTTGGAACTCTGATTCAAGTATTTCATGTAAATGTGTTTTTCAGCTTCAAACTGGGATTTAAACATATCAGATTATATACTCATAGCTGGCTTATTATACAGAATGCAGCGTGACAAGAACAGGATTCTCTGAATTAATATTAACTGTCAAATTTACATTTCCATTTGCTTTTAATAAAGGCCCTTTGGTAGAATCGGATCAGCAGATCATTGAGCTACAGAACAGGTAATGATGAATGAATACATATTTCTTTCTGGCACTAATTAAAATATAGAAAAAACAAACATTGTGAAAATTTAAATACTTTAATATCAATATCAAATATTCAAAATGAAGACATGCAATAATTAGTTACCTAGTTGTATGGTTGTATATTTACAGTACTTACATAAGACTCAAGTCCATTGAGTTCAGTCTTTGGCATATTTGTATTACTGCTGTTGATACAAAATAAATATTTTTTAATATTTTTAAATAGCATATTGGATATAAAACTCAAGTCCACGGAGTTCAGTCTTTGACATATATATATATATATATATATATATATACAACCAAAAGTACAAGATAGCACTCCAGGGACTTCCAAGTTGAATGAATAAAACTTAGCTTTTATTAGCTCAAAATAAAAATCAACGTTTCAGTCTGTATCACAGACTTTCATCAGGATCCTGATGAAAGTCTGTGATACCAGGCTAACGATTGTTATTGAACTTAATACTAAGTTTATTCATTCAGAAGTCCCTGATACTATATACTGATTGTATCTGTTCACTGATAAGCACACCGGGCAAGAATACATCAAAGGAAGGTGTAATTGCATTTTCTTTGTTTTATATATATATATATATATATATATATATATATATATATATATATATATATATATATATATATGTTACTGCTGTTGATCCAAACTATATATATTTTGTTAGATATTTTTAAATAGCATAGTATTTTTTAAAATATTTAACTATATTTACCGTAGATATATATATATTTACATAGGAATAAAAAAAAATTCATTTGTGACACAACTGCATATAATATGCAG